ACCTCCTACTCTTTGAACACCCCGAACGCTGGACACCTCCGAATCTTGAACAACTTTTTTTCGACCGGCGTTTCTCGTAATGTAAACATTAGGGGGACCTCTGAACCCTGAACACCTCTGAACTCTGAACCGTGAACACTCTGATATGTACCGTAGTGTGTCTTCTTAGTAAATTAGACCTTCAGACTTAAACAGAGCAGTTCAGCAAAACATCCGGGAAAACCAAGCGTTCATGGTGTTCAGGTAGATTAATTGTAACTATTCGTCTGCCGTTTAGTATTTTTATTTTGTGAACAAATTTTTAGTTTTTAAATGAACAGCACGGCAAAGAACACGTCGCGGACAAGCTGACCGCTGCTTATTCGGATCAGAAAAGTCTATCCTCGACAAGTTTTCGGCCGACGAATTTAATTTTTTTCAGTTCTAATTGTCGTGTAAACACGTTGTCTTAAGCGATAACGAATTAATAAATAAAACGCGATACAAATCATAATTATCTTACATTAGGCTTATTAGCTTGTTATGTGTAATTGATATAAAGCCAGGGGCCCCTAAGAAGGTATCCGCCCTAGGGGCAGTACTTCTGAATCATGATCACCTCTGAACACTGAACAAGAAATTGCGTACCGAGGGTGTTCAGGGTCGGGAGGTTCCACTGTATCACATATCTTGACAGTGACACTCGTTTTTTTACGCAGAAATTGATTGTGTGATATTGCCTATTATGAGATGTACCGGTACAATGTGTAACCATGTATGTACGTATTTCAACTTATCGAGTATAGAATCAACGGCGTTAATCGACATCGAGAAATAACGCCAGTTAATATTATAACTATTAATTTTGTGTGCTAGTATACTGTAGCAGTCGTAGCAGAAACATTCATGGTTGACCAGGACTTGACCTGACATTATTCGATGAAGTTTAACCTGCAATCGCAAGTAACTAGCAACCAGTGCATTATTATGGACCAACTTGCCGGTTTCTGTAGTGCACCGTTGTTCCCAGGAGTACGTGCGGGGCGGCTATGTACGTACACACTACCGTTAGGCTGTTAGTCGGTTTAGAATCCAAATGATGATGTATTGTATGGCCATTTGCGCGGTGAATCACTTAAACAGCACATGAACTATGAAGTATCGATTGATTGCCTCCTTATTTCCACTCTGTCCATTCGTGCCTGATCTCGCATGTATTGATCTTGGTCAGTCCCATATACAGCGGAAGGAACTGCAGTAGTCCATAATTCTCTATGCTAAAATTTAATCCCACAGTGTAAATTTGCAAACGCACACAAACTGAATAATATAGGTCAAGCTGTATAATTACTGCTAGTAAAAATATAGTTACCGAAAAACAATACCTTTGCCCTTGTGAGTCAAACTATGTGAAGAATTTGTGAAGCATGCAGGTTCAGCCCAATTGCCCGGTGTATCCATCATGGAAGACTTTTTGTTTGCGCGAATATACACAACGCCACTGCTAACGGGAATTTACAGCCGGTTTGTTGTCGATATTGTGGACTACACTGATTGTGAGGGCGACAATAGGACCGTATACCGCGGGTATGTCTGTGGACTGGAAAATGATCACTGTTGGGTGCGCATCGGCTGTATGCAACAACAACTGCGGCTGATACCCATGAAGAACCTGCGCAGGGTGGTTGGCCGGACCAGTTGCAACATCCAAGAGACTGAAATCAAAAATGGATGTATACCTTGGTCAGTGTTGATGACGATCATCCGGAATCATGGCAGCCGTACGCTCCGCAGAGCTGTATTGCTATGATAATATTACGCTCTTGAATGTCGAGGTTTATCTGCCGCATGACACCGTTACCGCGTCTTGGACGGTAATAATGCCGGCCTTGAAGCGTGCTCGCCGAAACGGACCGCTGGGACCTCCCGTGACCAAGGAGTCCTTCCGTCGCGTGCTGATCCCTTTTTCCAAAGTATGAATGGGATATTCCCGATGTTGTTGCTCTACTGGAGCGCATTAAGGACATGCCACACTTTCGCAGTCAGTTTACTTCGGACATGTGGCGTGTGGAAAAATATAATGTTTCTCGGGATTGTGGATGGTTGTGTTGCCGTGTTGGCTGCAAGGGTCGCGATCAAGGCCCCGGAGACGAGGTCATTTTGAATATTCGGTATTCGCCATTAAGCGGTTCGTAACATCGCTGACCAGGAGCATAACGAAAACCGTGGGCAGATTGTTGGAAAGTCATGTCAGCGTGATTGCATGGCATGGAGTGATGCTCACAATCTTGTACGTTGTGGTAAAAAATTTCTGTCATTTCAAAATTCGAAATTAATTTATGTCTGCAAATCATCAGCTCAGAACTTCATTTTATTTTCCATTACCAGCAGCGTTTCCATCAACGTTTTAATTCGCTGTTCTCATTGTCCTGGTGTTGCGGGCATAAAGATTTCCAAATCACCAGAGTGTAACCTTATGATGTTTGAATATTAGATAGAATTCCTATCGAATATTCAAAATATTCACGACAGCGTTAAAATTGTTAAAATGGGAATTTGCTCTGTTTTAGTGCAAAAGTAATCGGGCTGGTCAAGTGCGCTTCTATTTTGCAGTACTCATGACTCATCTTTGAAATACTTACGACTCATCGTTGAAATAGCTAAATTTTAGAGCATTATAATTAAGCCATCCTTGTTGGGAAACTTGCGTACTGTCAGTTCTTTTAACATTTTCTGCTGCTCTCTGCTAATGTGCGCACTCTGTAGACCTGAACGACCCCAGTGATTTGCGCTTTGGCGACCTATTTGGGGAGTTACATCTCGCTGTATTTTCATATTTGGATGTTTTTCATCAACATCAGATTCGCAGGTACCGTAGTTGGCGGATTTCCTTATTTGTAATGCTGTTTAATAGCCCTGTCTCAATTATCTGGATGTTGCTGCAGTCCGGCATCTGTATTTTTTGCTACGGTATTCTCAGTATGTTTCGTTGACAATGTACATTTTTTTTGCTTTCAGAACTTGTAAATTTTTTCATCACTTACTGTGCTCTGAAATGATCCAACAGTGTCTAATCTTGCCACGTCATGCTATGAATACCCTCGATGCTCTAAAACTGTTCTCACGGCAGCAGAGTGCCGACTTCGTCGGAGATCGAGCTGCCATAATCTACATACTGTGTAGCACAGTAACAACCAACACCAAAATCATCTGCCTCATTGGTAACTGGGACAAATGTCTGCATCATCTGGCGAACGTTGTTCTGCCTTTTTTGGGCGTTAAACTCGATTGGCTGATCGTCGCCGACAATTCGTTACTGACATTCCACGAGTTTCTAGAATTCCCTTGCCTTTCCTCGCCATGGCCCATGTTGCATACGGATGACGATTTTGTTACATTCAGAACAACGTTTCAGCCGGTAGCTGAATATGCCCGGGTGTGCCGCCACATACTGCTGAAGAACTGCTGCTTCGATAGCAAACTTTCAATATGTTTTGCGTCGATATCTTATAAGTATCCTTCGGAGAAGCGTATCCGCATCCTTCCATGCCGCACTTCCCGGGCGTGTTGCGAAGAGCCGTTCATTTTTGTGTTTCCTTATTTTAAGTACAGCTTCACCGAATCAGCCACAACGTTGGCAGAAGCCTTTCAATCAGCGCTGGAAGCACTGTGTCCCACACTTCCTGATAACAAAATCAGAGCCATGTTGACCTGGCTAAATTCCTTGACGAAGGATGATTTAACAAAAAAGTGCTTTGGTGTCTGGCCATTTTTCTCGCTTTGCTACGAATTGTGAGTGTGACAAACGGCCGGAATACTTAGAAGCTAACTTTCAAAAATCACGTAACGCGATGAAAAACTGAACAATGTTTTATTATTATTAATGCATAGGTGGAAGAAGAAAAAGCCCATGAACCTCAGCGAAGTCAAAAATGATGTTGCTACCAAGCTGCCTCCAAAGTGTTTGCTCATGTTCACACTCTCCCTGCTGGTGCCCGTTGAGGAACCAGCAGCGCCTGAAACGGATTCAGATGACTCTAACTGAACGAGTTACCAAAATGCATAGTGGAAAATATGAATTTTTCAAACTGCACTCATGCAGTTGTGGTAGGAATGTCAACCGAATTGTCTCCATTGACTGTTAAAGGTCGCAAAGGTTGCAGCATTTCAAATATAAATTCGTCAAACTAAACTAAGGACTTTCTGATTTTGGCAAGATTTATAGGTAAAACTACTGTTTATGCAATTGTTGTGGACTACATATTTTCACGTAGTTATGTGTGTCTAAAGGCGTCTGTTTTCTATGCTTATTTCTCAGCGCTATGCTGAAGCTGTGATTGAGCAGTTCAGTATCTATCATGAGCGTATACAGTAAAGAACATTAACGGGATTCAGCGGTATTCTCCGTTGTTTATAACGTAAGAGAAACGTTCATTTATCATAAGTATACTAAGGTTCCTATGGCGTATTCACCGCGAAAAAAGGAGGTTTACAGATCTAGTTAGCTTTTACTAAAAGTCTTTAAAAATACTCACTGTCTTAGCGACTGTCTTTTCTGGACTTTCGTTGTGGCCAACGATTCTGTGTCGTCAAACACAAAACAACGATGACAATACTCTCCGTGACCGGCAAAGGTGTCTTCCTGAAGTTTTTGCCGTGCACCCTTCTCCCACGCAACCGTTGCAGAAGCAACCCTTTGGCCAGAATAGTGACATGCGACACCAGTACGGGAGAACTGAGTTTCAGGTCAATCCGTGATATATGGAGCGCGTAGTAAGGCGCCTGTCTGTACGTATAGCGCGCACTTGGATATCAAATTTCGTTGTTTTATTAAACAGAGATATTGAGTCTTATATAATTCAGTCTTATATAAGTACGGATTGTGACAGTTATTGTGTCAGTGTAACTAACGTTTTCTATCCGACAAGTTGCACAACTTGTTCGGCGACATTTTTAGAGGTGCGACATGTTCTTATTACTGTATTACAAAAACAATTTATAATGCAGTAAGTCAACGCACAATAGTCTTTAATTATTATTAGTGCCAGTATACCAACAGTTTCATGAACATAACGGTTTGGCAGACAACATGGCCGTCTCGTGCAACCTTCGAAGGTGTTCAGCAAAGTTCAATGTCATTAGAGACATTTATTCAGATGCTAGGTAATTTGTTTTTGTAACGAGCATGCCGTCGAGCTTATCAAAAAAACAATCTAAATTACTGCAGTCGGTTTGCCAATTACACAATCATTTCTTGCAGTATGCAGTGTGCGCCTGCTTAAATGCGTCTTTAAGCGCTTGTTCAACATCCTGTCCGCATTTTGCAGCAACGTCGTGAGCACCGTCAAAATAACTCGCAGTCTTTTTCAGTTTGCTGAAAAACGATAGAACATGATTATTTTGATGGCAGAAAACATTCGCTTTAAGAATGGATTTAAGAACGGATTGAAATAAATAACTGGAAACCTACTTGCAGAATCTCTGGTGGGCAACGGATGCATTATCATTCTCTCCACTCCCGGCAGGCATATCGAGATGATTGCAGCAGCCGTCTAACGCATCCTCATCTTCTTCGTTACAGTGACTGAGAGCACGTAGATATTTCACCGGTCCCACCGTGGTACTGCACAGCGCACCAAGGAAAAGCCTAAATTCAGCATTATACCATCCACCCGTCGCTGCCGCATCGTCCTTGAGAGCGGGACACTGCGTGTATAAGGATTTCATGCAGTTTCCCACGTCGGTGCTCCACCTATAACGAAGGCACCTTTTCATCAGACAAAATGATTTCTAATTTTACTTTTACACACCCTGTCTTAACAAGTATAAACGGTGGGCAACTAAGCAGCCGGAAAATCCCTGTTTGTGCTGCCGCCCGGAGTACTTAATCACGACCCTTGGGCTATTAACATGGTATGGAAACTTAGCTGAATAAATTGGACGTTGAAAAAAAAGAGTCGAGATACATCATCAGTTATCACGAACTCGAGAAAGCCGTTTTATTTCCCCCGGAAATAACTGCTTACGGCGCTGGACTTCAGCACAATCTTGAATCGCCTTGTCATAGCGTAGATGGTAACGACAGCAAAACTACAGGGCTTATCTGGTTACGTTACTAATAGTACACTTTACAAAAGACGTTGAAAGTTTTAACCGTACAGTAGTTATAAGCAAGGGCATCCATCGTTCTTGCCATGATTATATAAGTTAGAGTTGCACTGGAATTCGATAAATCGCCTGCAGAGCTCTTGCTGGATCCACTTGTTCGACCCGTTTAAAATGCGCTTTCATTGCTAATTAAACGCCAGGAGGGACTGCAAGCCTTGCATGGTCACTTTACGATGCCTAAATGCCTACTGTTTATAAGTCGCTGTTAGATGATTAACGACTGTCAACCAACATTCTTGAAGGTACGGCATCTTTTCACAAAATTAATTGACTTTGACCATTCATTTGTACACTTAGTATTACAGCGACATATGTACCAAAAACTTCCTGGAAATCGCATATTATTAATTTACGATAACGTTTCGTAATAAATCTTGAAAAATGTCAGAATAAACTGCATGTACGTTTGCGCACGCAGACAGCTTCATCAAAATAGATAAAAGTGATGGACAGAAAGTAAAAGTAAACTACAAGCTGTTTGCTGCGTAATAGCCCAAGTGTTCGCGCGACTTTTGGGAGTCGAAATCTTATTAAGGGGTTTTTGGCAACGAGCAGTCAAACGATTATTTGCCACAAGAAATCGTCCTTAGACGAAATATCCGGCGGCGAACTGTCTCAAGACGATTGTCCCGCGACCAAATGTCCCGCGACGACCTGTCGGGCAGCCAGTTGCTACAATCAGCCGGTCCATGTTACTGCGAAGTATTTGCTGAATTGTGTCTAAGAATTCAGGGGTAAAATCAAATTTTTTGATGACATCTACGGGGGAAGTTTGGTGGTTAGACTAATTTTGCGTTTTTCATTCATACAGCTGTAAGAATTGAAACTGTACTAAAATTAATTTGATGAAACATATAGGGCGATTTAGTAGAGATTTAGCCTAGCTGTTGTAAAAGTAAATGCTGCTGCTGTTTTGGGCCCTTTGGGTATGCGTTCTAAAATGACTGACAGCGCTAACGATTTTGATTGTTTTTTCAATATTTAAATGTGAATCATTTTGCGTAGTATTCTGCGTATGCACTTTTCATTGTATTGATGGCTTTTGCCCGATAAAGATTTTTAGGAAGGTCATAACACAGTTGGAATGATGGTACTGAATGGCAGTTCTATACCAACTCGTTTAATTCAGACGTGCAGGTTAAATTTCTCAACTTACTCGTGCAGGTTAAATTTCTCAAAATTACTCACAGAAATTCTGACTGAACGGCGCATACCATTTTGCGTTAAAATGGACAGCACACATGTACAACACCGACTGTGACTGACACAGAGAAAGTAAACTCGGTAAATTTACTGTGCAGCCCAGCCGGTCCATGCATGCACTTTGAAGTAGTTATAGTCAACGCGCAAATGCGGCTTTTGTTCTTAGGACTGCTGGTCTGGTTGTTGTAAAGATTTAAAAAAGTTAATTTATCTCTTCTAGTTTATTTCACGATCTGTAGTTTAGTGAAACCGACTTGGGCTCCTACAACTGCTTATAATTAAAAAAAACAGTTGCAATTCCTCTCGGAATGCAATAACTAAAGCCCCTAAACTGTCATGTGCAGGTTTATCGGGATTCGTTAAAGGTGATTGTTAATCGTAGCAATTTAAGCCCGGCCTACGGCGTTTGCATTGCACGGAAATATTGCAAAATTCATAGATAATAATAGATAATAATAATGCATAGATAATTTGGTTTTTCTTCACTGGTTCTCCTGAAAACCGTCGAAGCGTTACCGCACATTAAGCTGATGACGAGGCGAGAAATCGAGATGAATGAAGTGGTCTAGGCGGAGCGTTTTTCGTGTTTTCGGAAAACACACTTCCAACTGACAGCAACCGGCCGTGGAAAAATGTTGACATCAGCTGACAAACCGAAATATCCATAAAGCACAACTTCGGGAAACGCATATAGTATTGCTTTTTTAAGTGGTTATCGCGAAAGCAAAACTGAAGGGGCGTTCAGAATTTTAAAGCGCAAGAATATGATTCAACATGTTTAAGATTACACCGGTTACTCGGAAACAAAGGAACGAATAGACTGCTCAGCAAATCGTCGGGTTCCTATGCAATGCAGCAATGAAACTCTTTGAAACGTATTTAAGCCGAGCGATACATTTGACTATCGTTGCTGTTATAAAACTGATGCAGTTACTTCGAAAGCAGCTATCTTTTTTCCATCTCGTCATAACTTTGCAAGCCATGATGATCCTTACCGTTTGTCTCCTAGTGCTCTCCTTGGTAAACAGTGCTAAGCACATTTCACACTTTTAGCGATATATGTTTTTTTTCTTTACGTATTCCATTCTAGTTAATGCCAGCTTACGCGTACGGTGGGACGCGGCCTTGCTGCACTGAAGCGACGGGGCGATATGGATGTTACGAAAATGGTATCCCATATGTCACCCATCCTGACGGAAAACTTATTGATCCTGTCGAATCCTCCTTCCTAAGTCGTCGCAATCTTAGCTTCAGCCGATTTCGGCGAGCTCATCCCTGCGCCAATAAGAATACCTGGTGAGAATGAGTGGCGCACAGCCCCGTCGCCATCATCGCCGTCTATGTGATAACCCTCATGATTGGCCATTCGCCATTGTGTTTTGCTGTTTCTGGGGATTTCCATCCCAGCATTTTTCATGGTCTGCAGCAGAGCTGTGCTGACTGCAGAATACAGTCTGGTGTTTGCTGCGCCACGGTGCACATGTCAGATTTCGGCATTAAAGCCTCAATCCGGGTTCGCCGCTGTTTCGCCGTCGAAGAAACGTGGGCGCCCATAAGGCCCCACGTTAGTTATACTTACTTCTTACAACGAAAGTGCTCTTGGGAATAGTAATTTGAAACCGCTGCCAGTCATAACAGAACTTATTAATAATTATTTTGTTGCCGGTATTTATAAAACAATTGACGGCAGGTATAATAAAAACCGAAAAAGTGCAACCAGGCCTCGTACAAGTTGAGCGTACATAATCAATTTTGCTACACATACAGTAATCCAATAAATAACGCCCCTTAACATCCAGTCAAAGAATATTGGAATTGATTTTGTGGGTAAAGTAAATGTGAGGAACAATAATAATTCCTGTATCTGTGCCTCTTTCAGTACATATCTGTGAGTATTTTACCGTACCCGCATTGATCTATGCTAATTAGTTGCTGCCGCATTGATCCTTAATCATCGTTATTACGAAAAATTAGATAAGCAACCGGCAAACTTATATACTGCAGCATGCTCGAAATCTGTTCCTTGGTTTTGGTACATAGTTCAAAGTGGTTTGTCCGATTAAGCTACGAGATAAATGATAAGAATTAGGTGAGCGCCGAAGAAGTGATTAAACCTGACAGCCGTGCCGAGAGGATGAAACGGAGCGTGCGTGGTGTGCGGGTGATGGGTGACCTTGGGAGATTGTGGAAGAGGGAATCCACGTCGATGGTGCCGTGGACAAGTTTACGGCCAGCAAAAAGAGCGGACATTGAGTTCCGACATTCCTGTTCCGATGGGGATGGGGAATGCAAGCCCGCGATCGAATGAGGCGGAAAGAAATCCCATGTCCGTGAGAATTAGACTTCGACAGGGCATTATTATCACGACGTGTTACCTCCGAAAGGAACGTGACCTCGATCGAAAAGGCTGTGCGTGGGTGTGCCAAAATGGATGAGTGTAGCAGCAAAGAGCGAATTTGTGGAATATGAATGCACTTCTGCCTATGTGGAATTTTGAATTATGTTATAATTCTTTTTGTGGTATTTCTGCTATGTTTTGGTTTTTGTTAGTGGGTTCCCCACTTGGGGTAGGTGTGGCGTAGCAACGCCAGTTGTACTATTACTTGCTCTGTGTTTTCATGTCAGTCAGTGAGTGTACGAGGTCGTGACAATTAACCTCGTGTAATGTGAATAATTGTCACTTTGCTGATTTTCTGGCTGAGTTTTTCCCGAACTACACGGTTTAGTTCACATCTTTTCTTGTTACAGCCGTTACTCGCAGTCGTTGCTAAAATCAGTGCACGAGCGCTGGCTCCGCTTTCATGGAAATCGATGCTTCGGATGAACCTTAATTCTGTACTGTGTATACTACACCTTGGTCACGCCAAGTTGGCGGCATGGCGTTTTATTTTCTGCCGAATTGCTTGTCGCAAGAATATCTGATATTTTGTAAGTTTCTCAATTTTTTCTTGCGCTTTTTCTGAGTATAAATTTACTCGACTTTCTGTTGCGATGCCGTGAAAAACCCCTTCCAAAGCGAAGGCATCGACTGAGCGAGTCATGGGAGTGTTTGAACCGAATTCAGTCCACCCAGATATTCAGGAACAACTTTAGGTAATTGCAGCAAGCAGTAGCACATAAGAAGACAGGACGAATTAGTGCTACGTTGTTGAGGATCCAACCATCCAGCCCATTTAATAACCATGTTCATTTGAGCGACAATACTATGGAAAGTGCGAAATTTTTCTTGCTCCGTTTTGTTTGTTGAATCGAAACTAACCAATGATGTAGTGATGTGGTATCAAACAGTGAGCTGATGAGTGGTGACATCACGAGAATTCAGAAAACTTGAGTGGGTTAGAGAAAAGCGTTCTTTGTACGGTATTTCGATGAACACACTTCAAAATCGGCAATGTTTAAAGGTAAAAAACACCGAGGTAAGCTGAAAACCCCAAAATTTCCATAAAGATAATATCAATTCCGAAAATGTATGCTCTATCCGAGTGGTTATCCTGAAAACGCTGTTCATGACTCCAGAGTTCAAGAATATGATTCAATGTGGCAAAACTCTCGCTGTGTAGAATGCAATGTGTCCTAGGAAACGATAGCACAAATTCGCTGATTATTAGCTAAATTGTTCGTGGACCTAAAACAACGGAAAACCCACTTTCTAAGCTTCCTGGATAGGTATATAAATTGGCCTTGTATTGTTGTTCAACACCTGGTGCAAATACTGTAACGCTAATAATTCAGAGTTTATCAAAAACTATGATGGTCCTGACCTTTGGTCTCTTGGTGGTGTGCATGGTAAGCTCAGACAGCTTTCTCAGTGTAATAGTAAAACGTTGTAACCGGTGGCTTTTCGGTACACTCAGGGACTGATGCCGACTCACGTGTACGGCGACGGTGACTGTGATGGAAACATTAAAAAGCCGGCTTGCTGTTGTGTGGGTTGGCCGCTGTACCGATGTGACAGCGATATCTGGCCCACTGTCAACATCTACGGGGCAGTGATCTACGGTCACGGCTATAAACATAATGCTAAAATCATGGAAACCGTAAAGCACCATCCATGCAGATTGGATGGCACCTGGAAGGATTGAATTGTATGATCTTCCGTACCGTCGTTCTCCTGTGCGTAATTTCGAGACAATGGCTCTTATGTTGGTAATATATTTAATCAGCGTTTGCGGCTTATTAAAAATTACTTCTTGCGTGCGCCGCCTGTGCTTAAAGCTACTGTGAGTGCCTTTCAGTTATAAACTATAAAGTAGTCCTGCATATTTTGCATTAATGATATTCAAACAACCAGGATTATCCAATACAGTGACAGCAAAGCTCACAGCAAATTTAACAACCACGGTCACTGTGAAAAATATTATGAAATCTGCCTACTTAATATTTCGCCATAAGACACTCCCCTAAGACCAGTGTAGTGGTGCCACGCAAGTAAGCTGATGACACCGCAGGAACTCAGGTAACTGAAGTGGGCTAAATGGAGCGGTTCTTAGAATTTTGGTAAGACGATGTAAGCTATATACAGCCAAAAATTTTCATAACGATGCATCGTTTCCGTGAACGCAAAATTGTTGTTCGAGTAGTTATCCCGAAAATTGAATTAAATTCGACATTTATGGCTGCAAGAATTTGATTCAGCATGCTTGAAAACCCGCACTGCATACTCGAAAGCCGTGGCATGTACAAACTACTCGTACTTATGAGACAAATTATTAGTGTTGTGCTACTAAATAAAATTAAATAACGGCCATTTACTTAGTAAAAGTCGGCCTAATATTAAAAGTGTAGTAAATAGTAAGTTTGGAGAGCCAAAGTAAGTAAAAGTAAGTATATTTCAGGCTGCAAGTGGTAATAGTAAGTAAATAGTAAGCTTTTGCTCGTGATAAATAATTTCTGTTTAATAATTCATTTACTAATTCATTTTTGAATTAATTTATCGCAAGTCGTCAACAAATTATTGTGATTTAAGTCATCTCTTCAAGTAAGCACCGTCGCAGACCGGCCGAACTGACAAGTGCTTCAGAAATAGGCAACAACCATTAGTGGCGGTTACGTAAGCCTTCGTTTCGCACTTAGATGCAGACCAGTGGTGCAAGCATGAATAATATAATTAGTATTACGAGTATTACTGTTCTGAGAATAGTATTCTCTCAAAAGTGGTGTGTTTTTTATAAAAACTGCTGATGTAAGATATGTGAGTTTATTCCTGTGGGATACTCTTATTCGTTCTGTGCCACCTTGGGTCATGCTTCGCTTGAAAGAGGTCGAAGTTAAACGAAAGATTTCAAAGACAGTTAAGACACCTGATAAAAATGTCAGGGCAGGGCAGGCGCCAAGAACCTCTGTGGAGTTATCGGATACCGACGACGTCAGCATTGTGTCACCAGTTTCTCCGATGCCTCCACCTTCCCCTTCATCAGTCTCTTCAACGCCTCCTCCATCACCTTCGTCATCACTCCACCCTAACTTAAAGAGCGGCGATTATGGGCGACCAGTCGTGTCAGCTGTGTGGAAATACTTCGAGTATTCAGCGCCTGCTAACTCGACCAAGTGCCTGATTAATGATTGCGGTCATGTTCTTTCTGGAAAAAACACCGGTAATCTTGTGGCACATCTTCGCGCAAAGCATGTTGAAGAATTCAAGGATTACACGAAACAAGAGGAACAAAGAAAGCGGGTGAAAGAGAAGACGGGCAGCATACAGACAACGCTAACTGCATTCCCGAAGAGCGGAGATTCATATCGCCCCGGCGAACCACGGTAACTGTTAAATTAATTGGACAAATCGTTTTCCATTTATTTTACCAAAGATTGTTATAAAAGCACGCGATAAATTTTAAAATTATTACTGTTATATTTTCAACTCGTGTTTGTATTTTGTTGCATTTAACAAACCGTATATCACCTGAAATTATTATTTAGGTATAACTTGATTCTGCGCGAGACTGCCCTGTTGATTGCGGAAACGACGGCGCCCTTCAGTTATGTTGAGCAGAAGCGGTTTCGAAAATACTCCAAAACCCTGGATCCTCGCTGCCCGAACATCGGGCGTAAACGGTTGATGACGGAGATGAATGGGGTCTGGAGTGACATCAGAGCAAAGATGCAGTCTGAGCTGGACGGTGCAGGTCTTATCGCGTTAAGCACGGGTAATTAAAATAATAAATTTTGTGACACTACTAAGCCATTTATCAATACCACTTTACTATTTTTTACTATTCACCGACAGTCCGACACTACTATTTCCCTTAATTGCACCAAATATTTCAGTTTTTCAGATATTTGGACAAAAAAAGGAATGACGGAGTCATTTTTGGGGTTAAATGCTCACTATGTCGATGCGGCTACTAGAGAGACGCGGAGTTGTACACTCGCCTGTCGAAGTTTCCCTTCCCCGCACACCGCAGAGAAGGTTTATGTCCTTGTGAAGGAGATATTGGATGAGTGGAAGATATCGCCAGACCGCATTATTGCTATTTTAACTGACAACGGCTCCAATATGGTATGCGCGTTCAAGAATTTTATCAGTGCGAAACTAACCATTCGTGATGAGGAAGAATTCCCCAGTGAAGAAACAGACGAAATGTATATGTTAAGCACAAGCGATCCCTTACTTGACGATGCAGCCGTGGACAACGACAGCCAGCAGTTTCTGGATTTCGAGGACAACGAGGACAGATTGTACACGGATTACAATCGCCACCCGTGTTTCATCCATACGCTGCAGCTTGTTGTGCGGATTTTTGAGAAAGCAGTAGAAGTAAAGCCCCTGATGAAAAAAGTTCGCTTCCTTGTCTCCGCTTTTAATAAGTCGGCCAATGCTACTACTGCACTGATTCGCACTGGAAAGCGTAAACTGATATGTGACGTGTCTACACGCTGGAATTCGACTTTGTTGATGGTTCGACGCCTACTTGAGCTGAAAGATTGCGTGCGAAAAGTTATTGTTGATGCGAACCTTAAAGTATCCGACCTGTCTCCACTGGAATGGAAAATTTTAGAAGGAGTCGATCTTCTACTTGGAAAGTTTGACACTGTAAGTACTATGTAGTAATAATTATTAATTAGGCTGTGAAATCTTTTTATCGTAGATATGTTTGCTTACAGCTTACACCTTTTTGTTCATGATTTGCATGTACCTTCGATCGTCGTTAGTCTGTAAATATTAAAGAAATACAAGCAAAGTGCAATATTTGTATCCAGTGCAAATGATATATACATGTATACTCTAGCAATTATGGTGTACTGTACTCAGTGTGTAATAATAGGCCTTTTAATGCTTAATGTTTTCCATCGAGTAAATATAGTTATTCGCAGCTAACTCAACTTTATCGTTTGTTCGTAAATATGTGAACAAATATTTATGTAGACTGTAAAGTTGCGTACTTTTTCTTACTGTTACGTCTTTTAGATTACTGATAAAATGAGTTCCGAAAAGTCTGCGACAATCCACATGATTCTGCCGTACGTGAAGGAGATTAACTACCATTTGGAGAATCAGTCGGCTCTTGACGTGTATCTGGATCTTAATTCGTACGGTGCGGAATTAGTTTTCGCGGAAGTGGTTGCAAAAATGAAGGAGCAAATGGCTGCGCGATTCGCTTATGTTGTGGATGCAGCTGACTCTAAATACAAAGCCATCTACCTCGCAGCAAACTTTTTACATGTATGGTTTAAAGACTATTTGACTGTCCAAGAGATTAAAGCGGCGCGGGACGAACTTACAAGATTATTCCTGGTGCGACAAAAGGCTTGCCCAAATACAGCCGAGGAAAGTTTAGCTGTTACAACGTCTGCCGAAACGGAAATTAGCTCTGCGCCACTGAAGAAAACGAAGATCTGCGAACTGTCTTACCTGACCGGAATTACGCCGCGGTGTGCACCTAATGTAGCGGAAAGTCTAAGTGGTACCGCGTTATTGTCGAAAGAACTGGATACGTACTGTAGTGTTTCGGCTTCTTCGGACATTAACCATGAGTACGACCCAAGAATGTACTGGATGCAAAACGGAGCACTGTTTCCGCTGCTGAGTTTATTGGCGCTGGATATTCTCGCTATAGGAAGCAGCACAGCAGATGTAGAGCGGCTATTTTCCGCTGCGGGTCACACGAGCAGTGGCCGAAGAAACCGCGTTAGTGGATCACGATTGGAAATGCAAGTTTTTGTGAAAAAAAATATGCGTTATATTGAGTCTTTGTCAGATGAATGATAATTATAGAGAATAGTGCTGCAATCGTAATGCTTTATGTATGTGGATAGTGGATACTTTTCACCGTTTCTACAGTATTGGAAGCAAAAAATTGTGTCTGAACTCTGAAACTACGAATGTACTGTAGCTGCGTGGAATGCAAAAGCAATTAAATTTCGTTTTCGCACATTTATTTAGTAAATTTACTTTTATTTAGTAAGTAAATGTGTTTGACGCAATAATAATATTAAATTTAAGTAAGTAAAAGTCAATGGAAACTGCCGGTAGTTAGTAAAAATAAGTAAACTTTTCTGAAGGTATAGTAAAAATAAATAAAACTGCAGACACTTTTACTACCCAACACTACAAATTATACGTGGTCCTATGCAGACAGGCAACCCATTCCAACTGTTTGACTGCCTTGAAAGGCATATAAGCAAGATAAAAACCATTCGGGTTCATAGTTTCGTTCAAAAACTAGTGCCAGTACAGTAACGTTAACTATTTCAAGTTTGTGCAATAACGTGCGGATTATGTCATCCAAAACTATGATGATCCTGACCGTTGGTCTCCTGGTGGTCTGCATGGTAAGCTGAATCAGCTCGCCTATGCAATAGTATAATGATGTAACCAGTTATTTTTCGGCGCATTCAGTGGTTGATGCCAGCTCACGTGTACGCTGGCGGCGACTGCAATGGAAAGCCGGCTTGCTGTTGTGTACCATCGCCCCGGGAGGATATAACATACGGATGTGACAGCAACAACCAGCCCACTTCCACCGTCGATGGGCATGTGTACAAAGTCTACGCGACCTATAAAATTAGTTCTTGGGGAAGACTCCTTGGGGAGCATCCGTGCATATACCAGTCATAAGACCGGATAGGAACGCATTGTACGCTATCCCGTGCCGTCGTCGGCTTCTGGCATGCTTTTGCGAGACAAGGACTTTCCTGTTGGTCATCTAATTATCAACGTACGAGGCTCATTATGGTTTTTTCTTGCTGTGTGCGCTGCCGGTGCTTAACGCTAACAGAGAGTTCGCTTGCTATTAAGTATTCCTGTATATTTTGCGCTGTTGATACTGGATGCAGCACGTAATATGTGGTAGTTTTAATTCTTACTTCTTAGGATATTTCTGATAATAAATTTAGCTGATCGTGATTGCGTTGTTGCTCAGTATACTGACATGCTATATGGAAGATGCACTTCATCTACCGTACTAGATGACCATCCAAACTCAGCAGATAAAGTGGAAATAAAACACTATGAACTATTTCTTATGTCTAATCCTCAGACTACTAGCAAAATACTTTTTACCAGTAATCCAACTACGTGCACGAATAAACTCTGGATGATGTAGTTATCCAGATAATGGTGACTTCCTGTAGGTACACACACTAATGTTTTCGCTACAGAAGACTCGTGAGCTCTCATAACACAAGTTCTTATTAGCAATTGCCAGTTCACACATCACTTTGTCTAGACTAACTTTCGCTATCCAAAACAGATGATCATTTCTCTGCTTATACATGGGAAAGTTAGCAAACGTAAAACAGCGCCGACGTCATTATACGGCGCATACAATCGACCAATTAGTGCTTAAAACGGAAGAAACACGCATGTACTCTACCAGATAAGTACATAAACGACGTACATTACTCATGGAATGTTACCCCCGCATTTAGGCGGTTTCCGTCCGCGGGAACCCACTATACAAGAAAACAACAATAACACAAGCTACCTCTCCTTGGGAGCCTCATCCGCGTAATCGTGTCCCGGGGGATATCCTTGCCGTTCTTCCGAAGATACCGCTATCCCATCCACCGCTTTGCCGCACATCTGGACTTCACAGGCGCTCCAGATCGCTCAGTGCAAACGCCGCGTCCGTCCAACCTCTCGCGCATCCTTCATTCGCTTGGCAGCATCCTGGTTCCCTTGTTCTGTACGATCCAGGATCTCCATGGCGCGGGCGGTCACCGGAGGATATGGAAGGTTGTCGTCGGTGTGGATAGGTGGAAGGGGGCCAACATCGCTTTCATCTCCGCTCGGTTTTTCTGCAGGGCACGCAGCATGTCCAGCTCCAGGATGAGTTTACCCTGGACAATCCGCGCTGCTCCTCGGATTTTCGGGTCCATGTTATGCCACTTTTCATAAGTGCATAAGATCGGGGTGGTCTTATCCTTGGTGTGCGGAATATACTGCGGCAAACTGAATCGAAGGGACATTCCGTTCACAGTCTGCACAACCGCATGATAAACACGCCAAAACCACGGCGTCATCAAATGCACATTTGGCAATTCCGCCACCACCTCCTGAATTCGTTTCTTCAGGATGTCACGCTGACGCAGGAAGTCTTGGGCCTCCTTGCTGGTGCCGTTTCCTACATTTTGACGCGTAGCGTATCCTCCTGACTCCGCCTCGCTCTCTACAATTTCCTGTGGGATCAGACGAGCCGTTGAACGCAGATTGAACGCGACCTGGTCGAACTGGTAGGGAATCAGGTATGGCACCTTATCCATAAGGTCCATATAATCGACCACAAACTCCACAAGTCCTGCCATCTTCTGGAGTGACGTAGCGATAATGGTCGACGTCAGAGATCGACCATTTCCTGCCGCCACCCGTCTATAGCGTACCATCCGATAAACCGCTTTCTGGAAGCTAAGCAGTTTGTCCAGTGCGATGTCGTCACAGTTCACATCCAAGTACGGATCCGTCTGGTACTGCTTATGCTGCTTCCATTGCTCGTAGGAAGTTGAATACGTGGGATTCACTTCATCCACGTATTTCGACAACTCCTTCAGCATCGTGAAGAAATCTTCCCAGGCCGATCTTTGCAGATGATTCATGGCAAGGACGTTAAAGTCCTTGTCAGTCGACACTTGTCGGAGTCCACGCAAAACGGCCATTACTGCAGGGACAGCTGTTACGAAATCGTCATTCTCGCCAGTTGACGGGTAAGGCAGCCGTTCCAAGATTGCCAACATCCCTCCATCTTTCAGGTGCTGCTCTTTAAGGCCCGTCAGAACTAGGACACGCTATTTATCTAGGACACGCTACACACTCAAATGGAAGTTTTCATAGTTTTCATAACTTAAATATAGTTTTCATAACGTGCAGCTTTTGAAACTACAATAATTTTGGTAAATGATACAGTAGAGTGGAAAGTTAAATAGTGTACGATTGTACGAAATATGTATTGCAACAATTGTGTCGCTCATGTTTTGATGTTTACGTTTGAACAACTAATAATAAATATATTGCAGGATAGCACGTTACTCCTGTATTTCGTGTAGTTAGATTTCTGCTTGATTTTTGCTGTGAAACCTGCGACATTCTAATGACCTTTGTATGGATGAGAAACGAAAGATCTGCTCTCATTGCATTCGATTCTCGTAAAATCCGCTAGCAGGTTTGCGAAATGCAGTTTGCATATTATACAGACAGGTTCTAGTTTAAAATTAATAATAAAATTAACTTCTCTCAGTTATTACAATAAGGAAGTGATAAAGGTTATCTGGGAAATGCTATCTGAAAGCAAGGTCTGTATTAACAGCAATATCGTTTTAGACACTGCAAAATGCGAACAATCACCCCTGTTACGTAGAAAAACCACTAAAAATGAGCAGTTTAGTCCCATTTCTCACCTATCACAAGTCTTGTTTTTCTATATACAGTGGAACCTCCTACTCTTTGAACACCCCGAACGCTGGACACCTCCGAATCTTGAACAACTTTTTTCGACCGGCGTTTCTCGTAATGTAAAACATTAGGGGGGACCTCTGAACCCTGAACACCTCTGAACTCTGAACCGTGAACACTCTGTTATGTACCGTAGTGTGTCTTCTTAGTAAATTAGACCTACAGACTTGAACAGAGCAGTTCAGCAAAACATCCGGGAAGACCAAGCGTTCATGGTGTTCAGGTAGATTAATTGTAACTATTCGTCTGCCCGACTCTGCCGTTTAGTATTTTTATTTTGTGAACAAATTTTTAGTTTTTTAAATGAACAGCACGGCAAAGAACACTTCGCGGACAAGCTGACCGCTGCTTATTCGGATCAGAAAAGCCTATCCTCGACAAATTTTCGGCCGACGAATATTAAAATTTAATTTTTTTCAGTTCTAATTGTCGTGTAAACACGTTGTCTTAAGCGATAACGAATTAATAAATAAAAACGCGATACAAATCATAATTATCTTATATTAGGCTTATTAGCTTGTTATGTGTAATTGATATAAAGCCAGGGGGCCCCCCTAAGAAGGTATCCGCCCCTAGGGGCAGTACTTCTGAATCATGATCACCTCTGAACACTGAACAAGAAATTTCGTACCGAGGGTGTTCAGGGTCGGGAGGTTCCACTGTATCACATATCTTGACAGTGACACTCGTTTTTTTACGCAGAAATTGATTGTGTGATATTGCCTATTATGAGATGTACCGGTACAATGTGTAACCATGTACATATGTACGTTTTTCAACTTATCGAGTATAGAATCAACGGCGTTAATCGACATCGAGAAATAACGCCAGTTAATATTATAACTATTAATTTTGTGTGCTAGTATACTGTAGCAGTCGTAGCAGAAACATTCATGGTTGACCAGGACTTGACCTGACATTATTCGATGAAGTTTAACCTGCAATCGCAAGTAATTCAGCAACCAGTGCATTATTATGGACCAACTTGCCGGTTTCTGTAGTGCACCGTTGTTCCCAGGAGTACGTGCGGGGCGGCTATGTACGTACACCACTACCGTTAGGCTGTTAGTCGGTTTAGAATCCAAATGACGATGTATTGTATGGCCATTTGCGCGGTGAATCACTTAAACAGCACATGAACTATGAAGTATCGATTGATTGCCTCCCTTATTCCCACTCTGTCCATTCGTGCCTGATCTCGCATGTGTATGGATCTTGGTCAGTCCCATATACAGCGGAAGGAACTGCAGTAGTCCATAATTCTCTATGCTAAAATTTAATCCCACAGTGTAAATTTGCAAACGCATACAAACTGAATA